CCCAGCGTGGGGAGCTCCATGGCCTGGCTGGTGCAGGCCTGATGTAAGCTGCACCCTCCAGGGACCCTAGGAACCCTCCAACCATCAGGCTTGGCCTCCGTCCCACCCTGGCCAGGGGTCATCCTACTGAGGGATCCTCAGGGGCCGGGTGCAGGATGTGATGCTGCACTGGTCACCCTGTCTGGTGCCAGGGTGTTTTGGTGAGGATGCCCTCGCCTGCCGAGAAGAGTCCACGGCATTCCGTGTGTCACTCTCTTCATGGGGCCTGCGGCTGGCATGCAGTGGGCCTTCAATGGTGCCGCCCAGTTTACAAATGATGATGGGGACCGCGAGTGCCTTGTTACCCTTGCTGTGGGTGCCAACGGCTGAGCTGTTAGTAGCGAGTGGAATCTGCTCTGGTCAGCAGCAGAGGGGATGGGAGGGTGGGCTTGCTCTCCGGAGGAGTGGAGGTATTGGAGATCACTGAGCTCTGGGGGGGGCGGGGGGGAGATTTGGAGCTCAAGGGGATCTGTTCCTCCCTGCTGCCCCCCAGGCCCAAGGGCCACAGCAGGGCAGGGGCTTCCTTTACACCTGTGTAGGTCCTGTGGACACTGCTTCCTGGGGGACCCATGGGGCAGGCAAGCAGCTGGCCACCCTGCCCTGGTGCCTGCATCTCCATGGCTTTGAACCCTCCTGAGAGGGTCGCCCAGAGGCCTCTGTCCAGCTCCCTCCAGCAGGCTCGGGATCTCACCTCAGCGCCTCCAGCTTGTGTCCTCTCATGCTCTTTTCTCCTCTCATTCTTTTAAGATTGGTTCGGGAGAGTGGGCCTCGGGAGAAGACCCCTAAATCTCTGGGTACGTACTCCGCATGTGCACTGGCCCCCCGCCCCATTACCTGACTCTCCGAGTGCCTGAGAGGCAACCTCAGAGACCCTTCTTGGTTCTCTGATGGGAACGCTGAGGTCTCCCAGGGCCACATGCTTAGGGCTCCCCCAGACCTGGATGTGGGAGGCGAAGAGAAATAGAGATTGTGAATTCCAGTGCTGGGCCAGGCGTGTCCACGTACCCCAGGGCCTACAGCCCTGATGATCGAGATGGGGGTGGGGGGAGCATTTTACGGACAGGACACCCAGTCTCACAGTGACTCTCGTGGCCCTGTCAGGAATCGTACCTGGGGTCCCGGTGAGCCCATACATGTTAATGCCCTACCACGTAGTAGGGGCCTGGGTGGCATTATCTGAGGTTGAGGACACCCTTGAATCTCGTGGTGTTCTTACCGTCCTTGCCCTGGGCACCTGGCCCTGAGATGCCCGCCGTCCGCCCTGCCCCTTACTCCTGGTAGCTGATGCTTTGGCAGCTGGACACTTCCTCACCCTGAGGCCCTGGTCCTCGTCTTGAGTCCAGCACCGAGCAAGTGATCCTTTGCAGAAGGCTTAGGCGGGGCAGGGGACGAGGAGGACCCAAACTCAAGGCTCCCCAGATGGTGGCTGCCTTCTCCGAGGAACCCCGATTTTCAGGTTAACCCGAGGACACATGTGGTGAGCAGGAGAGCCCATTTAACATAAAGAAGGGAGTTTGGGACCCTAACCCAGCCTGCCTTCATAATAGGACGCAATGCTTCTCACGTCCGTTTGGTTGGGAACATTCAGACGGACAGAGATCCAGTGGACGTCATGCCATTTGGAAGTGAATGGCATTTTTATCCATCACGAGGACATCCGATGGACAGTAGACCTTGACTTTGCTGCCTGCGACGTGGGTGGGGTGGCCTAGCATCCCTTCATCCTCAGGCCCCGCCAGCTCCAGCCTCGCACCCTGTGTGACAGATCCAGACAGGCCGGGCCCATGGGGTACAAAATGCTCCTGTGCCCATCTCCCTCCTTACCAAGCCAGAGAGAGCCTGGTGTTGTTGTGGGTTACGTGGGGGGCTGCTATAACCCTTGGATCCCTCTCGCCACCCTGAGTGAGAAAGAGGAGGCTCTCCTCAACACTCGCAGCCCCTGAAACCCCAAGAGGCAGTTCCATCCTATCCCACAGGGATGCTTGTAGTCGGCGTCCATTGGACAGCAGTGGGCTAGGCTTCTACTCTGGGGAGAGAAAAGTCAGACAGGAAGTGCAAACAGACTGTTCTCCGTATCTTGAATTTAGGAAGTGTTCTAGACAACAGATTGGACTCTGTCTTCTGCCCAGCCTCCCACCTCCTTCCCAGTCTCAGAATAGGTTGTGAAGTCATTGTTGAATGAATGAATGG